AAGGCATGTAAGTCCTTCTATTTTGAAAAAAATGCTAGGATTTCTACTCGTTGACTATATACGCTTTATATAAGGCCTCTTAAATTGGATTTTCAAACAACTGCAGTAAATGGCTAGACTCGATTTGCAACGAATACCGATCATGCGATATGGATAACTTGTAAAAATGTATTAGAATTTTTTCTATTTACTCGAAACTTTCTTAAACTTGATGTTTTCAATTATTGAAGGCGTGGACATGAATTAACAATCAGGGGCTTGTTCGAATTTGTTAACGACGAATCGTCAAGGACCGATTAATCACAAACGTTTATACTTTAGGGAATTTCTAATGTGTATATCTGAAAGTGCAAAGTTAGTTGGTTGGCTAAGTGTCCTTCCACAATATTTGTTGTTTTTTAAATGTTTTTATTACATAAGACTTTATCATTGTTATTATTGTTTCGCGCACATTATTTATATGTAAGAAATATTCAAGTCAATCATATTTCAAGATGTCAAACGTTGCTTTAAAAACCGCCTAAGCAAGATGAATGAACTTAAATACGGTAATTAGTTGTGTTTCTCTGACAAGAATTCGCACATCAATTTTATTCTACTGTCTACGCAGAGATATAATAAATTTGTAAAAAAAATTTCGCAACGTATATAAACACACATAGAGTGTGCATATTCTTAAGTACCTTGAATAACGGAACTTATTTACTCATCTTGCATACGATTGTCAGCCAACTGAAACCTCACTTACAATTTCAAAACTTTTTTCCGATCCGGAATAACAAATTTCCTCTCGGAGCTTTCTGTATGTATTATTATTACCTCGATCATTTGGATCATATGAAAAATTAAACATAATCAGTGATGTCGGAAATAACTTTTTCACACACTTTCACACTCTTACGTATTCGATGCAAGTCAATTGCAATTCCTTCTCTGTGTAGATATATCTTCAGTAATCTTATATTTAGATGTGTATGCACAAAAAATTATATTTTCGTCATGCTGGTTTAACAAATTTAAATGAAATGAAATATGCAAAATTATGCGCATAATAATTATAAAAAATAAAAAAAAAAAAAAAAAAAAAAAAAAATTCTTTTACCAACAAACACATATATGTGCGCACACAGTAAATTAATGCATTTAATTAGTTATGCACCGAACAGATAAAACCGCAATGTTGCTTAAGAATTAGTGAGGGTGCAAAACATCAAATGATGCTTAAGCATTGTGAGAAAAATGTTTCGACAACATTTCGAACAACATAGGAAAATATTTATAAGATAAAAATATGTGTGCCATAGCGAGGGAATCATTAGCAACTCATTATCGTTTCTTAGAAGTTAAATTTGTAAATTTTGATTTCTTTTTGTTTTTTTTTGCTTAACCCTATCGACATCTGGAAAGTACCTAAAGAAATCATAATATCAATAAAATATTTAAGTTTATTAAGACGACTAGACTAAACATCTGGTTCATCTCTTTCCAAAAGAAGGGCCAATAATCTTGATCGGTAGCACTCATCCTACCTTAAGACTTAGAATTTATTTCTTTGATCGGAATATATTATAATAGTAGTATTAAATAAACGATTATGTCAACTACAAAAACAATCATCTTAAAGAACTAAATCATCCTAACGGAATTTTCACCCAAAATTTTGTCAACGCATTTTCTCTGCAAACAGCCCAAATTTTCTCGGAGTTGACGACATATTTTTGATGAACTTGCAAAATTCATTTAAAATAACTTTTACATTAGCGATCACGATTAACATTTTCGTAAAATGAGAATACGATTGTCAATTTTTAATCATTCCCTGCCTTTCTATGCACAATTTTATGACTATAAGATTAAGAATACGCAGCAATTATTCCATATCCGTGAAGTAAGAAATACGCATCGCGAGTCCCATAAGATGGGTATTCACTATCAGCTTGAGCTTCTAACTCCCTTTGATTACGGCTATCTGATCTCCCATGCAATTTGCATGCATATCGCTGCCACAGTTTGGAAAATTGTGGTAGAAAAACCTAACTTTTAGTTGAAATACTCGTACTTGAAACACGACACCAATAGATGTATGTTTCCGTAATAATCTACAATGTTTCTAGTATGCCTCTTCATAGTTATCATTTTCACTTAATTTTTGTTACATTACTTTTTAATCAGTACAAAAAGAAATAAAAGTACGACTTCATACCACGTGTCTACATACGCATATATTGAGCAATTTGGCGATTAATTATCGTTTTCAAGTGATAGATACAGAAGCAGTTTATTGCTAATTTCTTTATTGATGTGAAGTGAAAATGGTCGCGACAACTGAACCTAACTAAAACATGAAATCCATCCAAGTATTTATTTATCGTACTACACTTTAGCGATACAAAAATTCTGCTAAATATCTCATGCAATATTCAAGTTGTGATGGATTGATTATTGGTATCAAGAAGTGTATTTCCACAACTTATCATTGATTCTATGAATTTGAAACTATTCGAGAACTAACTTTGAAATTTGTCAGTCGCAAATGACGAATAAAACAAAGTGATAACGTATTTGAGCCAATAACCTGCACTTTTTTGCATTTTATAGCATTGCGATTAATTATCGCAATGTAGATACGATGTAATTTTTCTTTGTTTAACACGCGAGTATATCTAAGAATTTTCAAAACATTTTTATATTTCTTAGTTCACCATAGACCACATGTAATTTATTTAGTTGCGTCTGAATGCACAATGTGATATAGTTTGAGAATTGACAGCATATAAGTATTTGCATTTTCTTACTTAACGACCTCTTTTCGATTTTAATTGAATAAAAGAAATTAATATTTTTGCAAAGACTTTGCAAGAGTGAAAATGTTATATAAATTTAATGATTATACCGTATTTGTTTTCACTTCTTACACTTAGTGGGCATTTAATTGTGTTAATTAGTTTTGCTTTTTGTGGGAAATCAGCAAGAAAATGCCTGTTAGTTGGTAGTTTATTTAATGAGTAAACCGTATTAAACATGTTATGGACTCGGCGTTTTACAAAATTGGAACAGCACACGAAATATTCATCTTTAACATGGTGTATAAAGAAACAAAAAAAACATTTTTTTTTCCCAATTTTTTTAATTTAAAAAATTATTTTCTTTTTCAATAAAAACTTTATTTAATGATCGAAATACATATAAACTGTAAGTTCCCATATATATTATATAAACCACTTAACATTAACGTTACTAACACACACTCTTCGATCGAAAATATAATTTGGATGCCATAGGAAAGAGATAAATTGGAATGACACTCACTTTTCTTCGGCAATGGAAAGTTTGCTATTAAAAAATATGTTCAACTATAGGAATTAAAATTGCGTTATTCACATGGTTCGTGAATTTTCGTACGCTAGAGAAGGCAACGGATTGCACTTTAATGCTATTAACAAGCTCCCTGACGCTTCTAAGATTAGCGGAGCCTTCCAGAAACGTTGAAATAAGAGAAGTCATATGTTAGGTTAAATCCTCCACAATCTATTTGCTTAATTCACATAATTTTTTTTAGTAAATTCATCACAAATAACATTATTTCATCTTTTTGAATGGTAGATATGTGTCGACTTTTTAAAATACATGGACGGTATTGTGCTCGTATTGTGTGATAACGGTACGAGGTCGGGAAAATTCATTACAATCCTTAATAAGATTAAAATCTTGGCCTCTAAAGATCTACATATGGGTATATAAAATATTATATTTGTTATCAATACACGACTATAATTGAAAAAACTTTAAAACTTATGAAAGCAGGGTATTTTATAGTTGACTTAAAAGCTGCCTGCAACTTTTTCATTTTGCATCATATAAATCATCAGGAATGGCAACTTCATCACTTCACAAAATGAGTATTTTTTGTTTTTGTTTTTTTTTTCATTTTTTTTATATCTTTGAACTGCAGTTGCGCAAACGAACCACTTTCTCTCTACGGGTTTATAAAGGCTCATCAACAACAACTAATGCAACGATAAAATATTTTATAAGCATTAGTTTGATGTTTTTTTTTTTTTTTTTGTTTTTACTAATTTATCAAGTTATTCTCTGTCTCTACATCTGTGCACAAATTATCAATTTCTCAGTATTATAAACAAATTCATTACTGTAGTAGTTCAATGACATACAAAGAGCTTACTGACTTACAGCTGATGTTTTGCTTACCTAAAAGCAATGAGAGTATACTAAATTTCTTATATTATTGGCACTTTAAAGAAAAAAAAAAAAAAATATATATATATATATATATATATATATATGTATATATATTTATATATATATCCACTACATAATCCCGATAAAATAAATAATCTGGATCGATTTAGCAATCCTTGTCTATCTGTATGTTCGTTGATAGTAAGGCTTGGCATAGACTTCAGTTTAGATTCATATACCAAACGGAGAGATAAACATGAACGTAATAAATTAATTCCTTTCAAATATATTTTAATCCGTAAATTCATATTGTTGCCAATTATCTACATTAAAAAAAAAACAAAAAAAAAAAAAAAATAGGAAACGTAGACAATTGGCAACAACAATATGCAGTTAAGGATTAAATAAATATGCAACAAAGCAAAGGAAGTAATTAATTCCGAGTTGGGTAAGTATGTCCACATATATGTCCATAAAAAGAAACTATATTTCGTCCAAACATTTTCTAATGAGTTCCATAGATCAAATTTGTGAAAAGTGGCTGAAGACAACTTCTAACAGTTGCTGTTAATGATCAATTGTTTGGCCAAGTGACAAATTCTGTCCCCTGCCTTGGCTATCGTTTCGAGGTCATACGTGTATCCGCAACTTATAAAAAAACATGAACGATTTTCTTGCATTTAAGCAAATAGATGGGTGTATAAGAATCGTCTCAATATGAATAAATACTTTCTTGGTTACCTGATTTATAATATCTTATGTTAAATAATACATTTACATATATATATATATAAAATCACCGTTTCTTAAAGGATTAACTGGTTTAGTAGTAATGGTCGAGTTTTTATCATCATATGTACTTCGGCCGGTGATATCCTTAATGGGTAATGGCTGCACGAACACACAAAAACAACAGCAATTTACAATTAACAAACATTTGTAATAATTTAACAACATAATTATTTATCTTTTATACATATAGTAGACTCTATATAATACGATTCAATTAGAAATTCAATTCAATTTAATTCGTTCTCTTTTCGTATTTATTAAGTAACATCTCATATATTATCCTTTGGCAAATACTTCCGGTTTTTATATGTTAGTTGCTTTTTTTATATATATATATATATATATATATATATATATATATTTTCCTTTGAATTTAATAAAACCATTGTAGGCAGATAAAATATTGTTTTATAATTGAAGAAAATCCGATGATTTTAATGCACTCTTGACGAATACCGACAACTGTGCAGTTCTAGCATGTTATTGAATTATTTTATAACAAATACCTTGTGCAAGAGAGTTTTCCCACCAATACTAACGTATATATTTTTTTTTCATTTATTTCTCTTTCACTCTCTCTGCGTCTCTTTATTTGCTAACGCCAATTGATGTAGGAAAGAGAGTCAGTCAACAATTATGTATATGTTTGCCGGTTTTTTATTTCTTTATTTTGAATGAAACATAAAAACATAATTAATTGAATAACAAACCGCTTTGATAAAATTTATTATTTTATGCGCATTACGGCGGCCATCAAAGTAAATTGTCAAATATTTAATTTATCAAATGTCTGCTAACAGAGAGAAATTCACATCGCAGATCCTATAAACTATATAGATGTTGCTACTATAGAGCAGGACTCGATTTAATCCTGTTGCCCTATCGAATGCGTGACTTCGAGACGCCCGAGTACCCTCAACGTTCGTCAATTTTTTTTGCATTATATATTTTTTTTATTTATTTTTTTTAAGTTATTCTCACTGCGTTAAGGTTTCACTTAAGACACCAAACTTCGGCACTCAGTTCGGACAAGGCGGAAAGAGTTGAAAAATTGTAAATCTATTTCCTGATGGTGTTCGAACAATAGCTTTTTCATAATGCAGGCGCTATATTATGCCATTCAAGTATTTTACATATTGTTTAATAGGCAACAAACTATGAAAACTTCCGCTTAACGAAAAAGAATTCACTGAAGCAGTTAAATAATGAGAGACCAATTAATCTAGATAGACAAAGTAATATTGTATGAAATGATAATTAAATAAACCCCCCTCTCAGGTTGATTGATATTCTTATCTTAGTATGGAAGATAAAGTAGAAGTTAAACTTCTTTCAGAGAGTAAATACAATGAACACTCGTCGGCCTTTCGTGTAATTAATTCACCCTTCCCACCTTTGGCTATCAAAACGTCTATTTCTCTTTTTTGTTTCAACGTGGATGTCGAAAAGTAAGACCCTTTTACAGCTTACTTGTCATATTTTCAACTCTCTCTCTAATGATGGTCGTCCAGATGATGGTGTGCGTAGATTAAATTAAAGTTTTTAACTTAGTTAGTCATAAATAGCTGATGTTGAAACTCTTTTAGGCTCTTTAGACTTGCCATCATACTTACTGAATTAGATAAGCTCTTACCTTCATAATAGAAATGAATTATGAGTTCTGATAGTAACTTAATGGCCTCTGATGTGTCCTCCCATGATGTCAAGTATGGATAAATAATTTCCATTCGACGATTAAATGCAGCTATGTCTTAACGTATACTAACGGTATTTTTCCTAACGACTTCTTTCCCTATGAGACTCACTTACATAATATGGTTACGTGTTGCAGTTACATGTGAACGATGCCAGAAGCATTCATTCTCAAGGTAACATTCGTTCATACCGAGTACTGAGTATTCAATCGGCCCACAAAAATCTAAAAACATACGATTTTTCGACTAAACTTACTGTGACATTTCAAGTTGGTATTAAAAATTTAATGTGATTGGGACAATTTTTATGGGTCTTCTCTCATATAAGTAACTTCTGTTCCTACGAAAACAGAATCCTTATATGGTGAAAAGGACTAATTTTCAGCATTTCATAGTGAAATATGGCTTACAGTATCGTAAATCGAATTTGGGTCTCGTGGATCTTTGTTTCGAATATCATCGCATGTATAGATCCCCAACAAATGTAAATCCTTATACACCGAAAAGTCCAAATTGTGTATATGTTGATATGAAAATTAGTTCGTGATAACAGTTTGACATAAAATTTAAGTGAAGCAAATTTGTAGGGCATGGATAGATTTACTTCTTGAACCGCGCTACATATAATGTATATGTCATTTTTTAAATGTGTTACGATGAAAACTGGTTCAAGGTAACAAATTAATCAAAAAAAATTAACATTAGGAAATTTGGATCACATAGACTTATATTTAGAACCTAACATAGAGAGAAACTATAACTTTGAGTTTTCTATGACGCAAGCTGAGAAATAATAAAATTGTTGCGTAGTAAATGGAATTTGCTAAATTTGGATCACGTCATTTAATGTTTTGGATAGACGGCAATATGCAGGCTTTCATGAAGATAATGTGTAATTTTTGTTGTATTATTGCGAAAACGAGTAACGAATTAATGGAGAGTATTTAATTGACGGCCTTGACCGCCTATAATATGCTTACTTGTTTTTTTTCTTCAATTATTCTTCGAATTTTATATTCAATTTTAATTAATATTTAATTTTATATTTATAAGTGCAAAATATCCCGCTACCCGAAGAATTAATTTTGTTAATGTTTGTTAATTTTATTAATTTTTATTTGTATAATTTCAAAATGAATAACCATAACTTGATGTTTTTCATATATTTTAATATTCAGTTTTTTTATGGGGTATACTTCTTTTATTCATATATGTATGTAACATTTTTAGCATTCAATGAAATAATCATAATTCATTTTCAATTAAATTAATAATATTTTCTATAAATTTATTTATTCTGCCTTTATAATTTTTAATTGATTTGGTCGTGTTACGATACCACTATAGCGAATAATGTTGCTTGCAATTATAAAATTTAATAAATTTACTTTCATATACATTATTCAGTAGCTATGTACTTTGCATATACGCTAGTAATAAGAATGCATTTCTAGCGGTAAATTCCTCGCGATAACTAATTGATAAGATATATAGAAAACTTTCGAAATTTTAAACTCATTATATAATATATGAAATGAATGTTCCTTGCATTTTAAAAAAAAAAACTTCTTGTAATCATTATATTGCACATACAATATCGCGACTTTTCTTCGGCACTGTACCTGGGAGGATTGCGTTTATTTACAGTGCATTACTATGTATCTCGCTTGAAAGTGTAGAAAAGGTATCTTTCCATTAAAAGCATCTTGATTTGTTGTCAAGATATGATGGCCGCTACTAAGTACTTCATAAAATAGCACTCTTAACTAATTGACCTCGCTTTGCAAAAAGTGATATGCAACAGGGAATATGTTCACCATTTATTATTAAGATCTTCGCGTACACATTTTGGAATTTGGAAGACAGACGAATATGCGCGAGACGGCATTGCTTAGATATTGTGCATTCATTTCATGCTGAACATGAAATTCAGAAGAACAATTATTTATTAGTTTCTTAGGCGATTTCTGAGTATTCACTGATGAAACAAAGTTCCTTCGCTTTATATTTATTAGAAAATAATGTTGAGTTCATGAAAAGATTCCGTCTTAAGTGAATAAATATGAAAAGATGATGAAAAAATATTCTATTGAAAGCATTGTCCATCACTTGCTGTACGTTTGCCATGCCTTTGAAAATCTTATCATTTGGCATAAACTATTCATGGATTCGTACTTTTTTTCGCGTTTTTTCGTACGACACAAAGCGTTGTTTAACAGGTGCGCAATCCATCTGAAATGGAAAAGTGATAATCGGAAGGATTCGAATCCGAAGAGTAAGCCACATAGACTAGAATTTCCCAGCGGAAGGCTTCTAAAATATTGCGGATTTATTGCATTGATGGATGTTCGGATGCCAGGTAAAGAAATGATCCTGTCTTCACTTTTTTGATATTCCACTTTTCGAGCAGCGAACTATTTGTAACGTTTGATATTAACCCTTTAACAAAGCACTGCCCTCTGATCCGATCAAACGCAAAGTATCATCGGCATTGGCATAGCAATGATACGCATGGATCAACTCATGAATTCTTGCTCCCGGAATCCTGAGAAAATAGATTCACCTTGCACCCCGAATGACGGTACGAAGCGAAAAAGACTTTCTTCTACATCGTCCAGGCATTAAACGCGACATGTTCAACGATATTACAAAACTATGCTATTGTACGGAGCTTGTATTGCGGTGAGTTGAAAATCTTTGACAGCAATTATATAGAGGGCTAGGGCCATCGTTATTATTGTTTTATTTTTAAAAATAAAGTTCGTTTCGGCGACTTTTTGGTTTTTTTTTTTGGTTTTTTTCATTGGTTTATATTTTTGTATTCAATTTATTTAATTATTTTCGCAAAGGCTAAATGTCTTAGATATCTCTTCAACTAGTGCTCGGTATAATGATTACAATGTCATATTAAGGAACGTGTCCGTTGGATTTCTTTTAAAGATAACATTTTAATTATTTAATTATACATTGAAATAACAATGTAAATTATAAACAAATTACAAATTTGCCATTAAACAAGAGATAAACAAAATCGTATACTAAACATCTACACATGTTTGTGTCATAGATATGCCACATGTGGCAATAAGTTAAAACGAACGCATAACCATTACAAGAGCAGCAACGGTAACGACACAATGACACATTTGCGTGCACTGAATTACGCTTAAAATATATAAAACGAGATTATAAAGATTGCAAGCAACATTACTTATTTACATTTTGAAAATGTAAACAAAAAAATGCTTTTTTTTAATATTAGTCGAATTTTGAACATGCATCCACATTACCACTAGGCCTGCTATGCCCATCGGTTTGGCAAATTTTTAATTTTAAAAATTCCCCATAAGTACGTAGATATTATAAATTGTCGTCTTTCCTGTGAAACGCAGATTTTACCACTTCACCAAATGTCATATAAACATCTTTATTAAACGTTTCTTAGTCGATTTAAAATATGAGGTTCAGATAATGAACATCTGGGTTGTAGACTTTCGAAAATATGTTCATGAGATCGCAAGCAAATACCAGAAAAAGTAGTCGATGTTCTGCAAACTTGTGGGACTTGCGGCTGCATGGTGACCGTATATGTGAGCAGAGCAAGGCCATTTTTTAACCTCACATTCCCAAT